TTTGCGATGAAAATTATGTATCCATTAATCAAGAGGGCAATGGTCTTAAAGACTTGATCATTTCCTAGAATGAAGGTTACAAATCCGTCCCATGAACAAATTTAACCAATTAAGGTCAAAGCCATAGATTTTCATCACCTAATAAGCTACTGATTATGATACATAAAAGATGCTTCCATAACAAATCAGTAAATAAAAAGATAAATATTTGCAATATCATCGTACTCTTGATAATAGCTTATATTAGAATGTTTGATTTTCAAGATTTGCATGCATTGATGATCATTCTTAGAGACAATCAGAAACCAAAGAAATCGAACAATGTATTCCCAATTACGTTTTCACTTACTATGTCTTTTCTCCAATCACACTATTGGATCAACTACTAAATATACATTATTTTAAGTTTCAATAAAAGATTAAATTAGTTTCACAGCTTATGCATAATTCATGCCATGGTTAGTTCATATAGAAAAGCAATTGGATCTCGATGACAATGTAAACCATATCAAGAATGGACGCAATATTCAACAAGTTACAGAAGTAACACAAACTCAATTATCGAAAAATGGCAAAACTTGAAACACCAAGAATCAGAGAATTATTATAAACATTCTCCAAACAAATCATATAAAACGTAGCTAAACAAAGGCCCAAGTCAAAGGTTTCAAATTGATGGTTTCTACTAGCGGTGACAAAAAAGCTTGGAGGCTCGGACGGCTCGAAAAAAGCCCGAACCGAGCCTAGGCTCGGGCCGAGCCCCACTTTGGGGAGTCGGCTCGAGCCCGGGCCGGCCGTGGCCCGAGCAAGTCTCCTATTAAAAAAAAAAAATTGTTTGAAGGCAACTGCTGCAGCAACCTGCAGGCAGGCAGCTAAGGAAAAAAAATTAAAAAAAAATACCAAAAAATCCGAGCCGGCTCGGCTCGACCCTCTAATGCTCGGGCCAAAAGCTTTGGCCTAGCTTCATTTTTTTTGGTCGGGCTCGGCTCGAGCCAAAAAAAGTTCGGTCCAAAAAAGTTTGAGCTTTTTTCTTTTGGTTCGGCTCGTTGACATCACTAGTTTCAACATAAAAAAATGAGAATTCAAGAAAATGGTGTTTAAAAATGAACTCATCATATCCCTACTTCTTTCCTCGCATCATTCATAAGGGACATCATTTTTTCAAGAAAATCACCAAATCCCTATACAGAAGATAAAAATAACATACTTTAGGATAAAATAATCTCTCCAAAATACACTAATAATTCAAATCTAGACATACTAAACAAACACCTACTTCGACTTCCTCGTTGTCAGGATCATATTCTCTGGCATTGTCCTCTCGCTCTGATATGATATCATTGTTTTTAGCCAAATAATATTCAATCAGAAAAGAAGTTAAACATATCCTTCTCAACCAACAATAATCAACAAACTGAAGAATAATTACTTCAACAAAATAGAAAAATGCTTAAAAAGAAAATGTCACCTGAATAGGCTTCTTTAATTTGTTGAAATTTCTGATTAACCTCACTAAGCCGTGTAGGTTTGTTAGATGGAGATGTCAAAACGAGCAAAACAATTTATTTTTAGACAACAGACATTGATAAATTTATTACAAAAGATAAATTATTAATTAAAATTATAAAATAATCACGTTTTCGTTAATTTTTTTTTAAAAAATAACACTTTTACAAATAATGAACTCAACCCTCTTTGGCTTAGCTAAATTCAGATTTTCATTAACTATTGATAGAAAAAATATAATACAATAATGAACTCAACTCTCTTTGGCTTAGCTAAATTCAGATTTTCATTAACTATTGATAGAAAAATGTAATACAATAACAGCTTTTCAGCACCTTTTCAAAAACAAAGTAAGCCTTATTATGAATTCAAGGTACAATAAGCCAATATTTAATTAATAGGNTGTTCGATCTCATAAAAAGAAAAAAAAAAGTAAAAAATCTAAAACTAAAAACAAGAATTTTTTTCAAACACCATTTTCATAGTTGTCATTTACAGAAGAAGAGGTTCCAATTCCACTTGTTTACTATCAATTCAACAAATCAGATAATAGCTCAAAAAATTACTCAGCACAACAAATTACAACAAAAAACTGAAGCTCCAATAATCATTAGACGATAGTACATTTTATTAAAAGCCAGAATCGTTTTAAAAAAATATCATTACATATATAGTTTTTAGAATTGAAAATACGTTTATTTTGCATTCTCTTTGTAATGGTCCGTTCAATTTAAAATGGCAGCTATCAAATTGTTTCGTATAGGCAATGCCATGCAATTAGCAATTATGAATCAAACACCCATACACAGTATGAGAACATGATCAATTTCATAATTGCATAACACTCCCTTTCATAACCATGAATATAAATATATGAACGCATTATTTACGCTAACAGAAAGCTACATGACCCAAAAAAAACAAAAAAAGAATGACGATACATTTAATGAAATTCTACATATCTCTTCAAAAGGAAAACAACATTGTAATGCAACGTGCAATTCCACTAAAATATTATTAAATATGAAAGTATAAGTACTCACACCTGCTGCTAGCACATAATGAAAACAACAAAGATCTCAAGACATGACTATCAGTCAGACCTTGCACAATATCAATGAACAAACGTAAGATTCAAATGGTACGAATGGATGAAATGACAAACCAACAATTAAAATAATTTAAGAGATTGAAACACAGTAAAAAAAGGATACATATTGCAATGTGAATTGAAATGCTGAATGTGATTAACATAATAACCAGTAAGGTAAATACTTCATGGACCAATCATCAAAAAAACATAATCATCAACCTCCGCGAACTCCAAATCCAAATGGCAAGACTCTGTTTTATTGGGCAGTAATACACAAAGTAACATTGGACTCTTATTGCCTACTTTACATCGAACTAAACTTTTCTTTGTCGCATCACTGGCTCCCAGTGTTGCCTAAAAAATCAATGAACATATGACAACAAATCCTCAGTTCATAAATTCAATATTTAACTAAAAATGACGCCCCAAATTAAAAACATAATAAGCCAAAATTTAGCAATTAATAATTTCAAATTTCAAACAACTAATCATAGTATACATTAACATCTTAATTCGTAACTTCAACTTTTAATTACAGAAAATTCTTCCAAATTAACATGAAATGTATCAACTATAATAACAAGAAATGTAGAACAATACATAAAAAATGATAAAAGATAAAGTTACCCTATTCAATAGCGAAGCTAAATTAGAGTTCAAAACTGAAAAGTCTTTTTATGCTCCTATTTACCTGAGAAATTCAGAGCCTTCCTCTAACTGTTCCAGAAGAATGAGTAACCGACTTTTTGGGTTTTAATTATGTTCCTGATATATCACCAAAAAAGAACTAAAAATTGCTATGAAATAAAAAGGAAACACGCGCTTAAGAAATCAAAGCCCAAAATGAACACCTAATTATTTTTCACATATCTAAAATTATATATTTTTAGTTCCCATCGTAAAATGGTCACCTCATGTATGCTTAAACCCCTAAAAAAATTGGGACTTCTCAAGTTTTAAACCCTTTACATGAAATGGTCGAAAAAACTATGAAAAAAAACCCACAATAAGATCGGAAAAAACCCACGACAAAACCAAAAAACACATAATACAGTTCAAAGAGTATCACAACCAAATAAAAAAGCGCATAGATCTGTACGATTTTCTCACCGTTTGACTAAGAACACAACGGAACATTCAAAGATCAACAAGAACGAGTGATTTCTATAGAAGACATGTTCCGAAAAGTGTGTAAAATATATACACATTCACACGACGAGACCACAATCTTGAAACGTGGACAAGAACCAAAGATTTCTATTGGAGATCCCAAAATTATCAGACGAAAATTCGAAATACTGTTGGTGGAGCTATTGAGATGAGGTGACATAGCCGTGGTGGAGCTGTTGGTGAGAGCTTCACTTGAAGAGAGAGAGAGAAGGAAATGAAAGGGGAAGGGAATGGAAAGCTGATGAAAGGAAAATGGACGAAATGGGAAAGCTGAAATGATATGACGTTTGAGACAACACGACTTCCCTTCTCATAGGCAAACATAAAGTACAAAGAAGTCAAATGACAGTGAATTAATATGGTTGAAGAAAAAAGATAACGCTAAGTCAAAAAAGAAAAAAAAGGAAGGATGAACAGTGTCAATATGAAGTCTCTCTTTTATTGTATAGGGATATGGGACGTAATGGTCAAGGTACTCTATTTGCAATGTTCTCATTCCTTGTGGCTCAATTCAAAAAATACTTATTTTATTTACACATGGTACCTTTTTTTTTCCGGTTATGCATTTAACTAATTGTACTCAAAAAAATATTTTAATATTTGATATATTATATATTAAATTAATTTAAAATATTTCAAGGACTTATATATTTATCTTTTTATTTATTATTTAAGTTATTTGTTTTATTTTTTTTTAGCAAATTTTTATTTAAATTATCTTTTAAAATACTACATCACGGTGGACTGAGTATTTGACACCGACAAAAAAATAATTAGAATCTATCATTTCAAAATACTTCAATATTTTTTTTTTACCATTTATATTAAAAATATTTGATTTCTTCAGATAATTTGGAGTTTTTAATTACTCATGATTTTCATTTTTATTTTTAAATCTGAAGAATATTTCAATTTTTACTTGTTTTAAAGAATTTTCAGTTTGAAACTTAAAAAAAATTACTTTTATATTTCATAATTATATTATTTATAGTTCATATATAAGTCGTGATATTGATAAATTAATAAGAGAATCTAATATTTCACTCTTCAAAATACAAAATAAAAATTAATAAGTTACGTTTTTCAACAGTAGACTTCTCTTTATTTTCAAAATAAATAATTCTATCATAGAGTTGAACATTTCTAGCGTATTGATAACCAGATCTATAACACAATTTAAACAAAGGATCCATGCTCATTTTATAGTGAGAACAAGTCCTTCAAAGTAATCTCACGTTCTACTTTTAAGAAATCTACAGTAAACCACAAAAGTTAACAAGCTTATTGCACTCGACACAGCCAAGAACCAGTAATAGTTATCGAGTCGAGCTTCATTCATGTCATCCGAGAACCATCCGTTTTTGGTCCCTCTCGAACTTGTGAAATAGTCGATGAGAGTTATGAAAAGGGCACTTAAGAAACTTCCTACCCCAAAAACACTTGTGTACAGAGCAATTCCTGTTGTCCTCATTCTTACAGGAACTTCAGAATAGAAAAACTCTTGCATTCCAACAACTGTGAATATATCTGAAATGCCTAAGAGGATGTATTGAGGAAGCAGCCAAAAGATGCTAAATGGGATTAATTCAGATTTTGGCATTTCTTTACTGATTAGAAGCCTCTTTCTTTCGGTAACAGCTGCAATTACCATTGCTATGACCGAGAGAAACATCCCGATTCCCATTCTCTGCATAACGGTGATTCCCTTTTTGTTTCTTGTCAAAACACGTACGAGAGGGATGAAACATGTGTCGTACAATGGCATCAGAATAATAATCGACACGGTTATTGCACTTTGGAGTGCGGCCGGTGGGATTTTGACTTTTGTGCCGATGTTCCTCCTCATTGTCATTCCTTGTTTGGTAAAGAATGTTGCAGGTTGTTGAAAAATTACTGCAAACATAAGAAGCATTAGCCAAACCGGCAGCAGATGTAGTACCTTTTTTGCAGCTCGAAAGGGATGAATACTTTCGTCCAAATTCTCTCCAAAGCCCTCGATGGTATCAGGATCTCGACTACAGAGTGCTTTCTCTTGAAGTCTATAAATGTAATATACTCGTTAGTATACTAATTTGTCTAGGGAAAAAAGGAAGTTTCATAATAGCAAACGCTTACTCTAGTTCGGCTACATTGCAATCGTTAGTAGGCTTATTCCAACGATTGATCATCTTTGATAAAGCGGCTCTAACTGTCTGAACGATTTCTTCAAATGACTTGCCATCGATATTCCTCTCTTGTTTGTGCGTGTAAGACCGGTTTCCACAGAAAAACATAGCGATTGATGCTACCATCGCAATCGTGGGAATGGCAAATCCGAGTCCCCATCCTAAAGTGTCTTGAATATATGACATTACTGAGACACCTAGGAGGCTTCCACAACAAACACCAAAGTACCACCAGTGGAAAAATAAGCTCCTCTTGTTGGAACTTTGGTCATTATTGTTAGTACAAGGTAAGCCGTCATCATCTCCCAGTTGTTCGGCTCCGAAGGCTTGTAAGGACGGATTATAGCCCCCTTGGCCAAGTGATATCATGTATAGAGACCAAGAAAGGGAAGAAGCCGAACTGATTTTGCTCATCGGATTCCAAGACCATCGTCTAGCCGTTGATGTCAATGCTAAAAGCCCCTAATAGTACAAAGTACAAATGTTATCTACACATCGCAGGTGAAAATTACTATACACATTTTTCTAAACTATTATATCCTAAGAACTATGATCAAATTCTAATCCCAATTATTTGTCACATCACAAAAAGTAAACATTAATCTTTTTTTTTTAGTGGTCAGACAAGGACAAGTGGCTAGTGATTTGGCTTCCATCAATTTAAAACAAATGATTCCCCGTATAGATTTCCACTAAATTCATCACCATCCTAACGAATAAATTTATCCATCTCTAAGAACTTAACCATACGATTTAACAACTGAGTACTGCCTAATCAACTCGACTCACCGCGACATAGAGGACCGAAGAGGCTAAGATTGTAGAATACTTGTCCAAGTAAGAGTCTGCTAGTGTGGCCATTATCAACGGTAGCATCGAAGTAAAACCCACCCAACTATTAACAGTCTTGGCAGCTGATGAATTGCTCATCTTCATAACATCAGTTAAATAAGTTACCATATTTGAAGCCACCCCTTTGAATGCAAACCTCTCCATCCCAGAAATCACTGTAAGTTCAAGAACATAAACATGGAGTAAGTAGTTAAAATAATCACTTATTAGCAAAAAAGAGTAGAAAATATTGTTTACCTATGAGGAGAATACATGGCTTGTTGATTCCCATAAATCTCTGTCTTTCAGCCATTAGAGAGAGAGAAACAAATGCAATGATCAAAGAGAACTGTGCATTGAAGACGATAATTAAATGGGATTATTCAAAAACGGAAAAAGATAGCTACTGAATATCTATAAAATGAATTATGGGCTTACTTTTTAGTAGCTTTCGTATGAATCTCAAAGTCTCAGTCACCCCCACTAACAAACCAGAAAAAGAAAAAACCGCTGCTTTTGTTTCATGTTTGTTTGTCCATCAATGGATATTCTGCCGTAAACAACAACTATTTTTTGGCTTTCTGAGGCTTAATGGGACTCTGGACATTCACTAAAATTCCATGCAGGTTTTTTTTTAATTATCTTTCCCCACTTTCAGTTTGGTTTTGTGGTCACGGCGATGTAACTTAGGTTATATGTATATATAGACAAACGTCTTCATGCAATAGAAAATGGGATTCTTTTTTTTTTTTTTTCTTGAAATTGATTTTTTTTATAATGTTGTTTGTCAATATATAGTAATCAAATGGGCGCCGCATGTAATGACAGGTTTTTACACAAGAAATCTCGAAAATAGCCTCGTATTCTAATGCTCCAAACAATTAGGGAAGTTTTCAGCCACAGTCCCCAAACATTACAACTTGTTTCTCTTGAGTCTTCGTTCATTTTTAGTTGCATATTAAACTAATTTTTTTTTCTTTTTTCTTGTGTAGGGACAGATGGATGGTTATTGTCTAAATTTGTATCAGACCGTCACTTGAACGGTTTTCATTCATTTGTCCTTTCATGCACTAAAAAGGACATTTGAACACAACTAAATAAATAAATGGGGACCCAAGTGACACAAGTGGTAATATTGAAGTTCTACTTTGCCTTTTGATAGTGAGAGGAGACTTTTGATCGCATCTAATCAAAATGCATTAAAATCATCTAAACTAGTATAAAACCAAACGTTATTCTTAATGCTATTTTTTTCTAGGTAAGAGGTTTTTGAAAAAAGTACCATAAAAGTCATCTTCAAAATAGTCGTCTCTGTTTGGTGTGCATTAAAACTTGATAAAAATCTCAAGTTAACAATTAATTTTAATAACATATTTCATGGATATCTACAATTTTTCAATCACACATTTTATTAATTTTTATTAAAATTTACTAAAAAAATTATTTAAATATCTACATCGAACACATGTTTAGTTTTGTATTGAATGATTATTTATTGTAAGGAGATAAGAAAAATTATGGGAAGGATGAAAAGCCAAAGTGTTACCAACAAGAGAGGGAAGCAGTCATCTTTGAGGAAAGCCTATACGGTAGTCAGCATTAATTAACATTAAAATGCAATACATCTCCAAACTCCATGTGGCCATGCCTATTGCTTGTAGGGGTCCCGGAACCCGACCAGACCTAAAATTTGATTTCCTAATCCGAACCCAAGTCAATTGAACTAAAAAATCAACCCAAATCGGTTCGTTTGAGTTGGGTTGATCGGTTTGATTAATTCGAATGAGTTTTTGCCCAATCCTAGGTGTCATAATACTAAGCATGTGTTTTGACACCTATTTTTGAGAAATTATAAATTTTGGAATAGTGATTGACAGAAGAATGTGTGGTTGAAAAATAATGAAAAATTTTAGATTTATGTGTAATATTATTTTATTTGAATAATGTGTGATTATAATTAAGAAAGAGAAATTTTTTTTAAAAAAAATTAATGGGTGTCTTACACCCATTAACACAATGACAATAGTGATTCCAATCTATAACTAAGATCACTATTTAGTAAATTCCGTAATTGAATTTTTACTCGTTGATGACTTTGGGAAGTCATAGTCAGTGAGTCAGACTACATACATATTAAATACAATGAAATATAAATTACAAGTAATACAATGTATGTGTAAATTCAAAATTCCTTTACTTTAAAGGAAGAATGGTAAATAAGAGTAGAGAAAATGACAAATCTCACTTTTATCCTCTACTTTCTCTTGCAATGCTCCAAAAGTGTCGAACGAGGACACTCATCGAAGACTAAACAACGGTTGAGATTGTGATTTACCCCTGCATCCATTATTGAAAACATGACCTAATTAATATGATTAACAAATATATAATAAGGAAAAATTTCAAAACTACAATTTTACAATAATATAATTCTAAAATTAACAAACTAGCAAAAAACTTTCAAAAATTAAGTGATATTGATACATTATTGTGAACTATTCTGATAAATGATCGCAACATATAAATTTTTATGACCGTAACTTAGTAATAGTATGATGTATGATTGTGATGTAATATATATGTGATCTTACTTATTAGTATGTGACCACCTGATTTTTTTTAAAAAAAAGATTAATGTCTAATTAACGAAATTAAAATTTAAAAAACATAATTTTTAGTAATTTTTTCAAGGGGAAATTACCTAAAATCTAGTATACTATTCAAAAGTGAGGTGGTATAGTTTTAAGTTCACAAATCAGGTGATAAATCAATTTCTAATATTAAAAAATTATATTAATTTACATACCCAAACCAACCCCTGCCCACCCTCGCCAACCCCAATTACTCTCCTTCTCTCTCTCTCTCTCTCTCTCTCTCTATTACACCCAATTTGCATAGGTGATGGTGGAGGACGACCTAGTCGGTGTGCTATCTCAGGCACACCATCAACGATCAACGTTGTGTTGTTCACGTAGAGTCACGCGTGCGACAATGGCGCAGTGGTGGTGCTTCATGCAGCGCCGCAATGTGGTGCTTCGCGCGAGACATTGCTCCATAGGTGCCGTTGCAACATAGCCGATGTGTGGTGCTTAACATGACAACGTAGCTTCGTGAGAGTCGCTGCAACAAAGGCATCATCGCACTACAAGACGCACACCGCTGCAACAGCGACTACACCGATTCTTGATCGATTTGGGTAAAAATTTGGAGTTTTGGATTCGGGAGTTTTTTGGATGGTTTTTATGTTGTTTGCGGTGTTTGCAGTTGGTTGTGGTATTGGCGGTCATGGTGGTGGTACATGTGGTGATGGTGCTTGTTGGGGTGATTAGGTACAAGTGATTTTCCATAAATAGTGGTAAGATGCTGGTGGTGGTGGTGGCCACAAATGGTAGTTTTGGTTGTGGTGTGGTGAGATGAGATGAGATGGGATGTGAGGTGATGTAATGAGAACCAATTATTTGAATTATTGTGACAATTAATTGATTAATTTGTGATCGATAAATAATATGTGATTGATAAAATAGATGATTACAGGCAGTCACAAAATAACAAAAACTTGGTTATAGAGAGTCACAGTTAATACATAAAAAGTCATAACCAATAAAACAGACAATCATAAAATAACACAAACTTCATTACAGAGAGTCACAGTTAACACATAAAGATCACAATTATTTACAATTAACAAAAATTTGGTCACGTTGAATTCATTGTTCACATATTAGATTACAAAACATTGTTAACATAGACATAGCCACATACACTCACAGTCAAGACGACGCTGGTCACATATAGTCAAAATTAAAATGGATAATTCTACATGTATATTAGGATATACATTAGGGTATCCATAATGGCCAAGTGGCCTTTTCTTGTTGGCTAATGGACAAACAACTTTTTCCACCCCCCAATGATGGAAAGCCACCTGGCTATTATGTATACTCCAATGTACTTGTAGCATAACCCAATTAAAATAGATCAGGTCACAAAAAACCACATTTAAGAAAGTCCTTGTTACAGACAGTCACATGTGACCAATTAATTTAATAAATTTGTGATCGTGAAATAAGTTATAACCTATAAATTTTGTAACAAATGGGTTGTAACATATAAAATAGGAATTTGTTCAATATAAGTTACACAACAACATGTCACAATCAAATAACATGTCACAATGAATGCACCACATAAACATTTAAAGTGAAGTCACAAATAATATAAACTTGGTCACAAAGAGTCATAATTCACATATAAAAGGTCATAAATAGTCACAATTAACGGAAAATTGGTCACATTCAAGTTATTGTTCACAAAGCCCTAATTTCAAGCAAGGGCGAAATTACGAAGCAAGGTCTTGCAATTTGATAAATTGAATTAGAGGCCCTCATCCCCAATTAATACTTTTTCATCCACATTGCCTGTTGACGTCCAAAATTGAGTGGAATCATCGCACTACAAGACGCACACCGCTGCAACAGCGACTACACCGATTCTTGATCGATTTGGGTAAAAATTTGGAGTTTTGGATGCGGGAGTTTTTTGGATGGTTTTTATGTTGTTTGCGGTGTTTGCAGTTGGTTGTGGTATTGACGGTCATGGTGGTGGTACATGTGGTGATGGTGCTTGTTGGGGTGATTAGTTACAAGTGATTTTCCATAAATAGTGGTAAGATGCTGGTGGTGGTGGTGGTGGCCACAAATGGTAGGACATCGCCTCCATCATACCAACTTTTCTCAAAGTTTCTATCATTTAGAGCCTCGTCCTCAAATAACGACATTGCCTCTGCCACACCAACTTTTTTCAAAGTTGCTATCATACAGAGCATCTTCTTCAATCATAACTGCCTTTGCACGCATTCAAAGTTCATTACCCACGACCGTTAAGCAATTCTACACATTATACGAATATCCATGCCTGGACTTGGAGGACCCGCGTGAGCATTTGAAGCTCAATAAATATGTTGCTAAAAGTTCGATTCATCTAACACAAAGTCCAAGCAGTATATAAATATTCATGCATAGACTTATGGGACTACTGTTACACCTTTGATAACGAGTTTTCGGGTCAAACCAAGGCCCACACTCAGCGACACTCACCACGTCACATGCACCGTCGAGGTGCCTAGGCCAAGACAAAACACGTATGTGGATCTGAAGCTCCGAAGTGACTAAGGTCGATGTGAATGAAGATGAAGTCACGCGGCTAGGAGACACGCCTGTTGATAGGAGTCAGCACCTCGGCGCAAGACACAAATCTTTATTGTATAAAGATCTTTCTAAGATAAAATCTCTTGAATGATTGATGTGATATCTCTGCAGCAGGCGTCGAAATGTCAAGTCGAATCTATTTTTGTTGGAAAAAATCAAATACCCACCCATCTATGCAGTGATTAATGAACGTCTACGAAGAGATGCTTCAGCAAGCAGATGAAGCTACGTGCTTTCCATCCAACGGTCTTTTCTTCACCCTTTCCTCTATAAATGCCCATGCTTTGTGTCTTTGTAAAGGTAATGTAACTCCATACACAACAATCTATTATCTCTTTCCCATTTTAGGGTGCTATACAAATTCCGATTGTTCTTGCTACCGGAATTACTTACTTACGATTATCATCTACTGACTTGACCGTCGGAGTGCTCGTGACCGCTACCACCACCACCACTAGGAAAGGCCACGGGCGACTAAAAGTTTGTGTGAAGCGCAGTGGGATGAGCATACGTGAAGCTGCTTTTTGTTGGCCACGTGGGGATCCCTTTTTTGAAGTCAACAATTATCACCAGAGTGACCAACGCAACACAACACAACACCGCGGCCACCACCACTTTGACCAAAATAACCACCATGATCATAACCACATTGACTAACACAACCACCGACCAACACGATCATTACCATAGTCATACTGAAATACTCTTGGATAGAGAAAGAACGAATAAGCATCACCGTCACCACGTTGACCATAACATGCATGGCATCTTCTTGCATGTCCTGACAGACCCCCATGGGAAGCGTGGGGGTTTTAATCTCAATCCTCTTAATTAAGTACAAGGGGTGGCTTGTTGCTAATCCTACCTGCTCAATATTTATTTCGGCGTTAATTGTATCTTCTGTCATTCCATTGCTGACAAACTCTGCAGAAATCTTACTGTAAAGAGTTCCTAAAGCTCATGAGCAAGATTTGAAGGAAGCTCTATACGATGTAATGAAACTGAATGGTGTGTGTGGTATTTTGAACCTGTACGTGTGGGGTTTTACAAACACAGACGTTGTGGGGACAGTTCCATCTCCACGTCTCGAAAGAGACTGACAAGAAATCTGCGAAGAAACAATTATGCTATAATTTAATGATTTGACACTGCAGGTGGAATGTGTCAATTGTAATTAAGGAAACTGTTATAATCTTTTAACAATCATCCTTATTGTTAAGGGCATACATGGAGATGCGTTTAGGCATTCACAGTATCACGAGATGAGAGATTTTACGTTCCATTTTCTCGTAGTTTATAATGTTTAGTTTTAAACTGATTTTTACAGTGCTCTAAAATAAAGAATGATTTAGTTGGCTCATTTATTTCTGAAAAGAGTTGGTTCAAAGTTAAATCTGTGTTGATAGATGTTGGTGCAGGGATGAATTTATACGAATGAAAGCATGTACTACTGCTATATTGTTGCCTTACTGTGAATTAGATTTTTCATAATCTCAAAGTGCTTAGACAAATCTTAATGGGAATGAATCGAACATATGGATTACAATTTCTCGGGATTTCACTATTAACGACATTGTTAGTGTTGGTCCTAAACGAGTTTGTAGTGTCGATTTACAAGTAAAACAAGAAAAAGAAAATCAACAGAAGAACAAGAATCAACACAAGATTTTTCGGCCTTAAGCCCCGATGTTCAGCGATCTTTCAATGCCTATATCCCCGTTGAGCATCCGTTTAAGGATTACGCTCAAATCCACTAAATCGCCCCCAAAAATGGCAGAAAATAGAGTTTACAGTACACTGCTCAAAATATCAACGAATCACTCAAAACAACCACTCCCAAACTGTGAGCTCATACAAGAGATCATAAATCCACTCCCTATCTCTAAAATCACACAAGAAATATAGAGATCTAATTTTACAGAGAGAGAGAGAACAAAGTCAAATAATCGAGAGAGGAAGTTGTGCAATTGCCCTCGCTGGAATATGATAGTTTGAGCTGGACGACCTCTCATGTCGGTGTCAACATTGTTGATAGGTATACCCTAATAATTCCCTAGTTTTCCTATGCGACCTGGGGGGGGGGTGCATAAGTGACGGTGCTCCATCTCAGGCGCACCGTAGGGACGCTAATATTTCAGCAACGGCACTGTCACTACGGTGCACCTTTGTGTAGAATCGATGATCGGGGTTTCGCATAGCGCCACTTCGTGCGATGGTGCTGCTTCGCGAAGCGCTGGTGAGGAGTTGGCGTGACTGCTGGTGATGAAGGTGTCTGCTAACGATGAAGGTGATGCTTCGCGAAGCGTCGTAATTTAGGGAGATTGTTAGTTATGAAATGTACTCCTTATACGTAATAGTTATGTAATGTGTATAGTTCCCACTTCTCAATATATGGGCCCATAAAATATTTATAAGATGTTTCTCAATGAGTGCAAAGTGGAGAGGGTTGGCATGGACGAAACCCATTCATTGTCAACATGGGCTTGCATTGTCGAACAAGGAAAATCCTTGGATCCTTTTGAGCCAAACATCAGCAGCCCACAACCTACATGGACAGTGAGTAATTTATGGCCCAAGCTTTGGATATTTCCATGGTGGAACCCATGTGGAGAATTTTGAAGTTTTAAAGGAATTTTCATGAGTAGTCCCCAACCCATAGGCCTAGTGCAAAATAAGTCCCTATTTATTTTTCTGGGCATTGCTGTTCTCAACCTAAAGTTTTGGTGCGAAAATATAACAACATAAAATCATGTGGGCGAGGTTGCAATGCGTTGGGTGTAAGAATCATGTTGAGCCATGAAATCTTGATACGTTATATTAGACTTGACACGTACAAAACATTTCTATTAAGTCCCCGTTTGATCCTCAATTTTGGAAAAAAAAATGTTTTCAAATAGTTATTTTTTGGAGAAAGTGTGGATACAAATAAAGATTTTTTTAAATTTATGTATATAATTATTTTAAGAGAGAATGTGTAGTTGAAAAATTAGTTTTGAAAAAATGAGTTTTTGCAAAAATGGAGTCCAAAACTCATTTTATACTTTGTTGAAATTACACCAATCATCTCCGTTTCTTTTGATGTTCAAAGTTACTTTCCATCGTTTTATTTCTTAAATATTGTTCTTTATTCCTCAAGCACATAAACATACACTATTTACAAACACTAAGGTGTGTTTGATGGATATTATTTTGGAATAATGTATTTTGGAATAATAGATTGATGGAGAATGTGTGGTTGAAAAAGAAGGAAAAGTTATTGATGTGATGGAAAATATTATTTTAATGAAGAATGTGTGGTTGAAAATGAGTAGAAGAATGAGAATGAAAATTTTAATGTGTACCAAACACACCCTAAGAGTACTTTCAATGAACTCTTTAAATATAAAATGTTCTCCATTTTAAAGATTTTTTAAATCAACTTTTTAATTTAGTAATTAAATGCATTCAAATATTTCAATTTTTGAGACGTGAGTAATGATAAAAAATAGAGAAAAACAATAAAGATTTTTTGAGAATTATAAAATTAAGTGTTAAATATGAAGAGCATGTTAGACAGTTAGAGTAATTAAAATTTTTATCCTCTAAATTTATAGATGCTAAAATATTATATTAAATGGAGAATCTCTTGAAAATGTCTTAATCAATCAAAAGAACACACACAACAGAATCTCTTGAAAATGTCTTAAAACAATTATACTTGTACATTGCCGAATGACAGCTCCTTTGACAGCCTGTCTATGTGTAGAAATCCTGGTTATTGATTGAAAAACTATTGTTAAAATTAATGCATAAAAATCTGACAACTCACATAATGTCAAAGAAGCTGTCAAACTTTATGTACATGTAGCATGATTGAATCTAAAACAATTATGCCGAATGACAGCTCCTTTGACAACCTGCCTATATGTACAAATCCTGGTCATTGATTGAAAAACTATTGTTCAAATTAATGATACATGTATCATCATTGAATCTAAAAGCAACGACCACACCACTGCCAATAAGCATTATTGTCCAAAAATACCATCAACACCTCATCCTTTTACTACTGTCAACGATTTCAAATCAAATTAGAGATCTTAATTAAACATGGTTCCGAAAACCAGATCTGATTTCCGTTCTGAAACAAAATTTGAAATCTTGGAAAAATCAGATAGCTTATATGGTTGTGGAATTTGAAGTTGATTTTATGAGTAATAGTTTTAGGTTGATATCTGATGTCTGTCACGTGTTGTTTGATTGTGCTGCTCTAGCTATTGGTTTGTATGCTTCTTATATTTCACAGTTGCCTAGTCAGTTCAATTATGGTTGTGGGAGATTTGAGGTTCTTTCTGGCTATGTCAATGCTGTGTTTCTTGTCGGATTATTGATTGTGATTGAGTCGTTGGAATGGATTCTGGACCCTCGAGAGATTTCTATGAGCAGTATCGTCTATTTCAATATAGGAGGTTTTGTTGTGAATGTCATTCGGTTAATCTTCTTTCATTAAGAGCACCATCATGCCTATAGTGCATCTCGATCGTGCTCCCATTCCCACCAAGATGATGTCGGTAAAGAAGGTGTTGAAAGTAAAAGTGCTCCAGGCACCAACCGTCGTCGTCGTCGCCGCCACCATGTTGTCCATCAAAACCACTAAGATCATCACCTAGTTAACCAACATAGCTATTGAGATCATCACCATGTTGAACCAACACAACCACCGTGATTATATTACGCCTACGATAACGAGTCTCTAGATCAAACCAAGGCCCACACTTTGCGACACCCGCACATGTCACACGCACTATCGAGGCATCGATGCGACTTGGCCAAGACCAAACACATATGTGGATCCGAAGCTCTGAAGTGACTAGAGTCTATGTGAACGGATGAAGTCACACGGCTAGGAGACACGCCTGTTTATAGGAGTTAGCGCATTGGCGCAAGATACAGATCTTTTGTATAAAGATCTGTCCAAGATAAAATCTCTTGAATGATGGATGTGATATCTTTGCTGCAGGCGCCAAAATGTTATGTCGTATCTACTTTTGTCAGGAAACATCACCTATTGAATGATTGATAGACGTCTACAAAGAGATGCTTCGATCAGCAGATGAAGCCACGTGCCTTCCATCCAATGGTCATTCCTTCACCTTCTTCTATATATACCCATGTTTTGTGCCTTTTGTAAAGGTAATGTAACTCAACGCTCAAGAATCTATTATTTCCTTCCCATTTTAGGGTATTATACAAATTCCAGCGATTCTCGGTATCGGAATTCTTGCTTACGATTATCATCTACTAACTTGAACGTTGGAGTTCTCGTGGCCGCTACCTCCACCACTGGGAAAGGCCACGGGCGACTAATGATTTGTGTCAAACATGCAAAAAGAAGCATATGTGGAGCTGCTTTCGATTGGCCATGTGGGGATGCATTTTTTAAGGTCAACAGATTGACACCTGAAGCCCCCAACTAAACAGAAGTATCTACAGGACTATTCGACCTCTTCCAAATATTATCTCCCTAGTATAGCCCTCGACACCTCGTCTGAGGCCAAATGGTAGGCTCACTTATCCTAGTCGACGCCACTACCAACTCACCCTATTGCCTCACCTTGTCTCTTAGAAGACATTTTCAGAAACAAAAAAATAAATTAAGAAAATGCTCCAACTATTTACCTAAACAATGAACAGTGCTAGAATGTTAAGTTGCCGAAAATTCGAGAAAGTGGCCGGAATGTATAAACTTCGTTGGAAAACTTGCGTCTACAAAATATTTTGCGATTGCGAGTTTTTCTTTTTGCCAAAGGTAAAAGGTCTAAACAATGAAGTAACACCCTGATATAGGAAGACTCTGTCAACCTTCATAGTTGGATCAAATCTTGTCCCATCTGAGCCATCAATTTACTGATTGATCCTCGCCTTCAAGATTAGGCGCCAAACGCACTTAATGGTCAGGATATAGCCAAATATCACACGCTCTCATGGGACGTGTCTCCTCGAACTTCAATAGTCGCAAACTATGATCAGTAGTAATGACCCATGAGAAGCATTTATTGGGAGCATGCGACGGTTCAACTGGGTTTCTTGGAAGCGTGCAATAGCCTTCAAATCATTGGCATGTAATCCAATGATGCGTTTCACCAAAGTTGCCTTTACCACGCCAATTTTTCTCAAAGTTTCTATCATTCAAAGCTTCGTCCTCAAGATAGGACATCACCTCTACCACACCAACTTTTCTCAAAGTTGCTATCATTTAGATCCTCATCCTCAAGATAGGACATCGCCTCCATCATACCAACTTTTCTCAAAGTTTCTATCATTTAGAGCCTCGTCCTCAAATAAGGACATTGCCTCTGCCACACCAACTTTTCTCAAAGTTGCTATCATGCAGAGCATCTTCCTCAATCATAGCTGCCTTTGCACGCATTCAAAGTTCATTACCCACGACCATTAGCAATTCTACGCATTATACGAATATCCATGCCTGGACTTGGAGGACCTGCGTGAGCATTCGAAGCTTAATAAATATGTTGCTAAAAGTTAGATTCATCTAACACAAAGTCCATGCATTATATAAATATTCATGCATAGACTTATGGGACTATTGTTACACCTTTGATAACGAGTTTTCGGGTCAAACCAAGGCCCACACTCAGCGACACTCACCACGTCACATGCACCGTCGAGGCGCCTAGGCCAAGACGAAACACGTATGTGGATCTGAAGCTCTGAAGTGACTAAGGTCGATGTGAATGAAGATGAAGTCACACGGCTAGGAGACACGCATGTTGATAGGAGTCAGCACCTCGGCGCAAGACACAAATCTTTATTGCATAAAGATCTTTCTAAGATAAAATCTCTTGAATGATTGATGTGATATCTCTGCAGCAAGCGTCGAAATGTGAAGTCGAATCTATTTTTGTTGGAAAAAATTAAATACCCACCCATCTATGCAGCGATTGATGAACGTCTACAAGAGATGCTTCAGCAAGCAGATGAAGCCACGTGCTTTCCATCCAACGGTCTTTTCTTCACCCTTTCCTCTATAAATGCCCATGCTTTGTGTCTTTGTAAAGGTAATGTAACTCCATGCACAACAATCTATTATCTCTTTCCCATTTTAGGGTGCTATACAAATTCCGATTGTTCTTGCTACCGGAATTACTTACTTACGATTATCATCTACTGACTTGATCGTCGGAGTGATCGTGACCGCTACCACCACCACCACCACTAGGAAAGGCCACGGGCGACTAAAGGTTTGTGTGAAGCGCATTGGGATGAGCATACGTGAAGCTGCTTTTTGTTGGCCACGTGGGGATCCCTTTTTTTAAAGTCAACAATTATCACCAGAGTGACCAACACAACACAACACAACACAACATCGCGGCCACCACCACTTTGACCAAAATAACCACCATGATCATAACCACATTGACTAACACAACCACCGACCAACACGATCATAACCATAGTCATACTGAAATACTCTTGGACAGAGAAAGAACGAATAAGCATTACCGTCACCACGTCGACCATAACATGCAGGGCATCTTCTTGCATGTCCTGATAAACCCCCATGGGAAGCGTGGGGGTTTTAATCTCAATCCTCTTAATTAAGTACAAGAGGTGGCTTGTTACTAATCCTACCTGCTCAATATTTATTTCGGCGTTAATTGTATCTTCTGTCATTCCATTGCTGACAAACTCTGCAGAAATCTTACTGCAAAGAGTTCCTAAAGCTCATGAGCAAGATTTGAAGGAAGCTCTATACGATGTAATGAAACTGAATGGTGTGTGTGGTATTCTGAACCTGTATGTGTGGAGTTTTACAAACACAGACGTTGTGGGGACAGTTCCATCTCCACGTCTCGAAAGAGACTGACAAGAAATCTGCGAAGAAACAATTATGCTGGAATTTAATGATTTGACACTGCAGGTGGAATGTGTCAATTGTAATTAAGGAAACTGTTATAATCTTTTAACAATCTTCCTTATTTTTTAGGGCATACGTGGAGATGCGTTTAGGCATTCACAGTGTCACGAGATGAGAGATTTTACGTTCCATTTTCTCGTAGTTTATAATGTTTAGTTTTAAACTGATTTTTACAGTGCTCTAAAATATAGAATGATTTAGTTGGCTCATTTATTTCTGAAAAGAGTTAGTTCAAGGTTAAATCTCTGCTGATAGATGTTGGCACAGGGATGAATTTATACGAATGAAAGCATGTACTACTGCTATATTGTTGCCTTACTGTGAATTAGATTTTTCATAATCTCGAAGTGCTTAGACAAATCTTAATGGGAATGAATCGAACAGATGGATTACAATTGCTCGGGATTTCACTATTAACGACATTGTAAGGATCTTTTTTGTTTGTTTGTTATGGTATGACCAAGTGCTTTATGTGCCTTACAATTGCTACGCACATTTTAATTGTGCTCAAGGTCATCAAGCTTTGTTTATTGTAGCATTTATGTTCCTAACCTTTTCATTGAAATTTAAATCTCCAAACTTGAATTAATGGACTATGCTACAAGTATATAATCATTTATATAATACATTACATAATTGACATGTGGCTCGAATCCATCAGTAGTCTACAATTTTTGACTTTTACACACTTCACATACACGATCAGAATTCTTCCACATGCCTATGTAATCCATAATGTACAATAATTNATTCATCCCCAATCTATGTGGCGTTAATGTGGTATTAAATGATAGGTGAAATTAAATAAGTCATTTAATTTCACATATCATTTAACCAATCATTTACATCCACATAGACTGGGGATGCATCCCTACTGGGAATTAATAGCATTTTTCTATACAATAATTACATATAGATTTATCCTGCATTAATTAGCCTATCTTAGTATTGATGATTCCTATAAAAATATTTTTTTTGCATGCTTTGAAATTAGCAAAAATATATTATTTGCATTTTTATTATTATTCTTAAATATGACGGGAAAATAAGTCTTTTTTTTCCCTCTCCAAATGAATTTTTTGAACAAAAACCACTAGCAATTAAAATATGGTGCAAATGCTAAAATCTATGCGATACGATGTGATTACCCTCAGACTGCATCTATTGTATTCCTTGCATTTCATCGATTAATGAAATTTTGTGGTTTGATCTCAAAAACTAAAATTAGTACCCGCACCCATCGGTCATAACATGTTAAGATTGCAAACATAAAAACTGAATTTTTAAAAATCTTCTCACGGGAGGATTCAGATATCGTTTGGACGCATGATGTCTGAGGATGATTATCTGATGTATATGAAGCCAATAGATGCTTAAGGTTGATTCTGATAATAAGTTCAAGGTCGTATTTTCATGTCCACATTACACAACGATAGCTGGAAAATGTCCATGATGAAATACATGCGCAATAAGAACAAAGAAAGAACAGATGAAAACAAAACATGTAATCCCATGAATATGCTGTAGTTGAATGATGAAAACATCATAATGAACTTCCAATCAGTTGCAATTATTCGAATTTGTTGTTGTATCCAATCCCAGATTGGTTCAAGTTCAATCATATGGAAAAAAAAAAAATTATTTTCAAATGATGGGAAATGTGTGGTTGAAAAAGAAGAAAAAATTATTGATGGGATGGAAAATATTATTTTATTGAAGAATGTGTGGTTGAAAATGAGAATTGATTTACTGTAGAAAATCAAAATCCATACCAAACAGACCCTAAGTCTTCTTTTCCCTCTCCAAATGAATTTTTTGAACAAAAACCACTAGCAATTAAAATATGGTGCAAATGCTAAAATCTATGTGATACGATATGGTTACCCTCAGACTGCATCTATTGTATTCCTTGCATTTCATCGATTAATGAAATTTTGTGGTTTGATCTCAAAAACTAAAACTAGTACCCGCACCCATCGGTCATAACATGTTAAGATTGCAAACATAAAAACTGAATTTTTTAAAATCTTCTCACGGGAGGATTCAGATATCGTTTGGACGCATGATGTTTGAGGATGATTATCTGATGTATATGAAGCCAATAGATGCTTAAGGTTGATTGTCTGATAATAAGTTCAAGGTCGTATTTTCATATCATCCACATTACACAACGATAGCTGGAAAATGTCCATGATGAAATACATGCACAATAAGAACAAAGAAAGAACAGATGAAAACAAAACATGTAATCCCATGAATATGCTGTAGTTGAATGATGAAAACATCATAATGAACTTCCAATCAGTTGCAATTATTCGAATTTGTTGTTTGTATCCAATCCCAGATTGGTTCAAGTTCATCATATGAAAAAAAAAAAAATTATTTTCACCAAATCAGTATTTAGGATCAGTGAAGAAGCTGTTGATGGTAGGCATGATCTCAGGAGACTTGTTTCGGACGAACTTCCTAAGAGCATGCTCAGCATACTTTTCCCCTTCGGCAAAGTTATCCAAGACACCAGCCGCCCTGTTTTCCTTGGTCACCCTTCAATTACAAACATCAGAATAATATTAGCAACTCATATGAGGAACAATTTCTTCAATATGAACATGTAAATTCAATACATCGGCCTTGGCTCAGTCATAGTCTAGTCGACCAACCTCTAACACACTCAACGTCACATAAAAAAGATGATAAAGACTAGCCAATTGGTGCCTACATACAGATAGGAAGGCAAACATAACATATTATTTTTTTATGTTTTCCAACTGCTGCTTGGCATGAGGTAGCATAAGAAGTCAGTGAACTGCTTCGAGATTTAACTCAAAACACAATGATTATGATCTTTGATATGGTTCAATACAAGGAAAAAAAAAAAAAAACCCTAATATGATGCATGGTTGACAGGACAATAGTTTTTCTAATCCTTAATGTCTGCATCCTAATTTCCCGATCTATGAGATTTTTTTTGACATTTCCACATCTAAATGATATGAATCCTTATCAATCTGTACAATTAACTAGATTTCGACTTTAAACAACATTTTACTATTGTACCAAAACTTTGATTTTACACCAACAATAAAAACTTCAAAAGTTGTCTGAATCAATTAACCCCTGTTTGGCTCCCCATTTTTTCTGAAATCTATTTTTCCTCCAAACTCATTTTCGTCCACATATTTTATAGAATCTACAACTTTTATCAACTTTTCAATCATACATGTCATTCACTTTTAACAAAATCTACTAAAATCAGAAGCTAGACTAAACACGGGCTTAATTAGATTGAAATTTTTGCAAGCCCAAGCATGGACATTAGAAGCTTAAATGTTCAAATGCGTGACTAGTTTTTTATGAACGCCAAATCAATTATTTATATACTTATGTTGGATTGTGTGAAGCTTAATTGAATCGTTTACTCATCTCTTTGATTGCGATTTGACCATGTATCAAGTAACCCCAAAAATTCATACAAGATATAAAAGGATTTAAAAGCGAGGAGGCCTCTTTTCAAACAAGAAGTATGAGATCCTTTCTACACTTATTCATTATTAGTTACAGTATAAACCTTCCAATAGTAAGTGAATATAGCTCTTGCATCAAAGGGAACTACTTTGGGGTTTTCTGGTTTTCTTTTGCTTATAATTGCTTTTGAAATTTAGATTTAGGCACAGTCCTGACAATCTAATCGAGTGAATTAAGAAACTACTCGTTGGATCAGTATACCAAAAATGAAGACTTGATTAAGAAAATCACCAAGAATAAATAAATAATGTATAGAAAACAGATACTTCAATGATATCAAAACATACGCGCACTAAAAGTACAGCAAAAAGAAAACACATGACAAGACCAAGACATAACAATATGCTTTCGATAAAAATGGATGCATTATTGCACAGATCTAAGAAAATAAAAACGAAAAATAGGCATAACAAGATTTTACAAATACCTGACTTCAGGATTGGTACAAATATTTCGGACCAATTGCATTCCGCAAATCCCAACAGCCACTCCGACGGCCGCGAACAAAGGATAAACCTAGACCGATCCAAATGCGTACAAAAACATCAGACCTAAGCATATATAAATTAACAACAGCAGAAAAAATCGGAAGAAAGAAAACGATTTTAGTCTTCATATTGTTGACAAAAAGGAGAAGATCTAGGGACGAACCTCAGGCCTGAGCCATCGCTTGAGAGTGGGTGAAGCCATTGGAGGAAGAACGCCGATTCACACGGAGAATATTTCTATTCAATGCTCTGAGAAAAGTTAGGCAACGCGTAAAGACGGCTGGAGACGGAGAAATAGAACCTATTTGAGCCTTTTTTTTTTAATACTATTTTCAAGAAATTCTCATTGGCTGTTGGCTGTTGCCCTGTGACTTTTCTTTTTTCTGTACAATTTTGGAAGTATTTGGGGGAAAATGGCGCAAAAGGTCCCTAATCTATGAGGTTACTACGCAAAAGGCCTTTAAACTTTAACTCAAACATTCCTAACTTTTTTAATGAATAATTGGTCATTTAGATAGTTTCCAACCAATTGACCATTAAAAAGGTCAAACTTTTGATGTATAGATAAAATGCAACTTATGTTGGAACACAAGGAGCTGCCTATTTTTATCCACAACACGAAGCACCAAAATATACAAATTTCAACGCCGTAGAGAGTATGTAAACTGTGTTGATAATTTCTAAGATCCATCGCTATATTTACTCAGCAATCCAAATACCACCGGCGTATTTTCAAGATCCATCAATCCAAACGCCCCCTGAAACAGTAGGCAAAATGCAGCATGGGAAGCAATATAATCTTTCCCACCTGATGCTGAAGATAGCATACAAGGATTCGGCAGAAACATGACTTAAGAAGTGAATTGTGTACAAAACCCAAGAAATCCTTATATAAAACTTAAAAATGTACATTCTGCTACACTATTTTTCCTTGCC